TCTCTCTCTCTCTCTCTCTCTCTCTCTCTCTCTCTCTATCTATCTATCTATCTATCTATCTCTCTATCTATCTCTCTATCTATCTCTCTCTCTATCTATCTATCTATCTATCTATCTATCTATATATATATATATCTATCTATAAAGGTCGTCCGTACTTCCCGAGATCCTCATTGAGTGGTGGGATCCCTGTTCACCCGTCGCGGTGTACGGCGTGCCTCCACTTTCTGACCTACGGACAGACCGTCGCGTGTACCGCGCTTTGGAGACGGAGGGAGAGCGCGAGAGCGATCTCCTTCGAACGAGAGAGAGAGAGAGAGAGAGAGAGAGAGAGAGAGAGAGAGAGAGAGAGAGAGAGAGAGAGAGAGTTGGGATGCTGGCGTTACTGCGCCATAGGCGTCATAGCGGACGACGAGCGTTGGCGCTGTCGCGCGTGTCGGTCCCACACCCAGACGCAAAGTAAATTTTTGTGTCGGACCTCACGGTCGTGTCACGCAGGAGTCTTTTGTTACCTTAACGAAACACCACTCTGACCGTGCGCGCGTGCTATACCTCTCGCGACTCCCTACGACAGGTTAGGGATCCCGCGAGGTACAACATACCTCCACCTGAGGGAGTTGTCACCATCCCTTAGGTGGGCCCATCCCTGCTGAGCTACTGACCCACGTGTGAAGGCTTTTACATGCAATCGCAGAGGTAGGCCAGCCGAGGGTGTTTTCTTGATCGTCATAGCATAGGCATACGCGCGGTAGAACACCTTAAGACTGACCCGTATGTCGTGCCCCGGGGTGCTAACTCCCCGGACCGACTATCTAATCAGGTCGACTTTCTCGGACTGTCTTCCACGCTTAGTAACTATGACAATAACTCTACGTTTACTTTATTCACCATGTGAGAAAGCCAGGGTCAAGCCCTTTAGTAATCTCTCATTCTCTCAAGATCTCAAACAGATTTTTAGACAATAGCTCCCCAAGCTTAGACCAACTTACGATCTTAGCCACAAATATATATGTATATATTTATATGTATGCGAGTCAGGGGAGCTGAATGAATGTGAACCTCACTTCCACAATAGTTGTGTCCGTTGTCCGAATATCTAAGACGATCCCAATTTAGAAGACAGTTCAATGCCCAAACACCTGTGCAGATGCAAGAATCACATACACGCATACAAATGCAGACACAAAATGCACTACAAGCGTCAACCTTTAACCCTTTCATGACAAGTCCCTCACGCCCCAAAACCTTTGAAAGCAGCATTCCTTCCTAGTCCTGACTCCTTTTACCCCAACCCTTCACATTTTCAAAGACCTTTGAGTGTGATTTGGACACTTTTAGGTATAGATACAGGGGGAAGATTTATCTGCTTCCTTCTTAGGTCTTGCCTTAGGTGTGGGTATCAAGCCATGGTGGAAGTTGAGTCGGAGTTCTACCGACCTGTTATCCAATGATAACAGAATTTGGAGTTCCTTACGGTTTTCTTCCGTAGCCTCTCCAAGAATGATAACCTGTAGACACAGCACAGTTAGAAAAAATCTTAACGTCTTATCTTCGTCGTTGGGATCTAGAAGATCCCATCTAGACTTGTGACCAGAGTCGGTGTTTGTCGTCGACCTACTGCCTAACTTCTACCCTGATCTAACTATCAATCCGCCTGCCTGGTGGGTCTAGGCAACGAAAAGGATTCATTCCCAGCCTCTCCGTCCTAACTGTTCTACAATGTTTCTCTCCTCTTAAGGAGCCTCATGTCTCTAGTGACCACATGCAATATCATTCATCCAATTCAGAAGAGAATCACATGATAGAGAACAATTCAGAATATCAAAGGGTGATAAGTCTCTCGGAGTCAAGATCTCCCTTATTTCCTCACTAGAATCAAGTGTCAGGGAGTTGACAATGGACGAAATTGATTGTATGGGTAGCGGATATCCGGCGATAGATCGATCAGGATACATTCAAACCTTTGTTAGTATCAGGTGCGGAGAGTATAAGTTAGTATGACAACGAGGCAGACTTCTTAGAGCCTCGCTTCTCTCGTTTGCCTAGTGTATATATAGTTATGGCGATGAGGCAGGCTTCTTAGAGTCTCGCTTCTCTCGATCTCCTAGTATATAAGTAGTTATGGCGATGAGGCCGACTTCTTAGAGTCTCCCTCCTCTCGATCGCCTAGTATATAAGTTAATACGGCGATGAGGCAGGCTTCTTAGAGCCTCGCTTCTCTCGATCGCCTAGTATATATATAGATATGGCAATGAGGCAGGCTTCTAAGAGCCTCGCTTCTCTCGATCGCCTAGTATATAAGTTAATATGGCAATGAGGCAAACTTCTCAGAGCCTCGCTTCTCTCGATCACCTAGTATGTATATAGATATGGCGATGAGCCAGGCTTCTTAGAGCCTCGCTTTTCTCGATCGCATAGTATATATATAAATATGGCAATGAGGCAGGCTTCTTAGAGTCTCGCTTATCTTGATCGCCTAGTATATAAGTTAATATGGCGATGAGGCAGACTTCTTAGAGCCTCGCTTTTCTCGATCACCTAGTATATATATATATATATATATATATATATATATATATATATATATATATATATATATATATA